ATGTGTTCTTACAAATTAGTCATAACAACTCATTATATCAAACGTGATTTTTCTACCCATTACTCTTAATGTATGAAAGTTAACATATTAATAGTATCTTTCCTCCATATCTTAAATAAGTCATCAAAATCCAACTCTCTCTACAAATACCGACAAAGTGATCATTCAACAAACGTGACTAAATCTTCGATAAAAGATCTCATTACTCACCCAAAGTACTCATTGCATTTAAAGAACTCTGAAAATTAAAAAGGTTTGCTGAGCTGAGAGCTGTCATATACCTTCTACCCAGAAGTCCTAGTGATAATCCTTGGGCGATCCGTCTTACACAGACAGCTCTTCAAATATCATGTCCATCCTCCTACCCCACCATAGCTTTCTCTTGGAAAGTATAACAAATTAGTTTTTTCAAGCGCTCATCATAAGACATTATTTCCATTTCCTTTACCAACCAACTCTCCTTTAGACCTCCAATAGGATTCTATCTCCCTTAGTGTGATGACCAGGTGCAGCCTTAAGAGCTGAACTGAATTATCACACATGTATAAGACTACTCCTTTAATAATAAAATTTTATTATTTGCTAGCTATGTCACACTATTTACAATAGCAATACATAAGGAATACTTACCATCTGTTAGGCACTATTCTAAGAGCTTCAAAAGCTTTAAATCATACTATATCGTACCATATATTCACAGCCAACCTATATGGTAAGTCAGTCACTTTTCCACTTTAACAAGTAAGAAAAGAGAAGTGACTTGGCTAAGGTCAGTTTATAAACAGCAGAACTAGGATTCATATATGTGTCTGATCTCAAAGTCCATGCTTTTAACCACTTGAATTTGTAGTCCCCATGGCTGATTCACACAGAATTTATTTTTTACAAATACAGCCGCTAAACCAGATCTGCCTTTCTAGAATTAACAGTACTTCTGGTTACAACTATTTTATCATGCCATATTCAGCTCATCATTCTAACACTTACACGTAATAAAACTGGGGGAAAGCAACATACAACTAAGATAAATAAAAAATATGGCTAGTGCTTTCCCCAACACAGATTACAAAATTTAAGAGACCTATTATAGCAGGTGCAATACTTCAGTTACCTTGACCTTTCCTAAATGTTATGTTTAGCTAAAAGTAGAGCAAATAATTCTTGAATTTTCCTCAAAAAAAAAATTCATCCCTTATAAAGTAAAAGTAGGAATGAATAACCTAAAATGATAGACAATGTGGAAGTAACAAAAGCTTGGGAGAAAATGGCTGTATCACTTTAGAGTATGCAATATGGGCACATTCAGTTATGTGTCCACAAATACAATACAGAGAAAAGATACATATGACCCAAATAACATTCTACACAAAACCAGTGAGGTTAAATAGAAAAAAAAGTTTTTGTTACAAAAAATAGGAGGTTCAATCATGCTTTGGAGATTACCTTTTAAGTATAACACCAGAGGAAGATTACTAAATGAAAATATCTCCCCCCAATAATCTCATAAATCTTTTAGAAATAAAATAAGTAACTCAACTTCATAAAATAAAAAACTAGCAATTCTTACAATAGTTAGTAGCCTAAAATATATTTTAAGAAGCTTCAACCTTAGTAATAATAAAATAATGTAATCAAAACTGAGTTACCATTTTCTCTTTACTAAACAGGCAAGGATTTTTTTTTTTTTTAAGTATGGTAAGACTGGAAAATATGTAAGTACAAGGACACTCTTTTATACTACAGGTAGAAATATACACTGGTAGATTCTTTCAGGAAATTATTTTGTTAGTACTTTTGGATGCAAACTTTTCACTGATAGAAATATATTCAAGCAAATATATATGAGCAAATATTTAGCGAAGAGTCCTTATTGCAATGTTATTTATAACAGGGTAGGCTAGATATAATAAATCTTCATAAATAGCAGAGTATAAATTTAATAAACTAGTTTATAGTGATAAATATAATACTCTGCAGCCATTAAAATTTATTACATAATAGAATACTGTCAAAAAATGTACAGAAGTGACAAAAAACAGATTCAAAATTACATATATTTTATGACCCAATTTTAAAGTATTAATATTTTAAAATATATACATTCCAAAATATTTACAGTGGCTAAGATTACAGATGACGACTTAGTTCCTTCATACTGTGTATAAGGGTGCTCTAAATATTCTACAGTGATATATTTTTCAAAATTAAAAAACAGACAGACTTGTGTAAAAAACAGGTGGTATCAAAAAAGGATATTGCATAAAAAACTTTGTTTTCCACTGCAATACTAGAGACTAAAATAAAAAATTGATTGGATTCTAATAAAAAACTATGGCTAACACTGTAGCCATAAACTGAAAAAATTAGAGGAATATGAGAAAAATGGGGCAAAAACACAATAAACACAAACATATTGACAAATATATGTTTTAAAACCTATAATAGTAGGGTCTATAAGGTTAAATCTCTAAAACAAATCTAGGCATACAGAACTAGGAGAAATAACAAAAAGTACTTTTATCAATGTTTGAAGCAAGGAAATAAAATCAGAACATGTTCTTTCCTTGGGGAAGGTGGGAGAAGCAGTCCATTCTCACTTTGCTTGTATCTTCTCCTACAGAGAATATTAGCTATGACAAGAAAGGGCATACCATAAATACTGAATGCTACCTATGGTAAGGGAAAAAGTTGTAATGAATAACCTAGCTTCTTCAAATAAGTTCAGATATTCAGACCCTGATGCATCATATCCCAAGATTCAGGAATTGCTCCCAGATTTGACCTCAGAATCACTGCTATCTATGAGAAACAATGAAAAACAGAAATGCTAGATAAAGGCAAAACCCCCAATTCAAAAAAAGAAAAAGAACGAAATAAAAGTGGTGAGCTGTTAACTGTAAGCTTAGCATCCACACATAACAATGTAACAGAGCAAAGAACAGAACTTACCAAGCATCATGAGAAAATACAGTTGACCCTTGAACAACATGGGTGTGAACTGCATGAGTCTACTTATACGCAATTTTTTTTCAATAAATACTGTAAACGTATTATTTTCTTCCTTACAATATTCTTAACATTTTCTTTTCTCTAGTTTAGTTTATTATAAGAATACAGCATATACTACACATAACCTACAAAATATGTGATAATCAACTGTTTATGTTATTGGTAAGGTTTCCAGTCAACAGGATATTAATGCCAGGCCGGGCATGGCTCAGCGGTGGAGCATCAACCTAGGATTCAGGAGATCTTGGTGCGATTCCTGGTCAGGGCACATGCCCAGGTTGCGGGCTCAATCCCCGGTCAGGGGCATGCAGGAGGCAGCAGATCAATGACGACTCTCTCATCATTGATGTTTCTCTCTCTCTCCCTCTCTCCCTTCCTCTCGCTGAAATCAATAAAGATATATTTTAAAACAAACAAACAAACAAAAAACAGTAGGATATTAGTAGTTAATTTTGGGGGAANACTGAAATCAATAAAGATATATTTTAAAACAAACAAACAAAAAACAGTAGGATATTAGTAGTTAATTTTGGGGGAAGTCAAAAGTTATACATGGATTTCTGACTGCATGGGCGGTGAGCAGGGTTATAAACCCCCACACTGTTCAAGGGTCATCTGTAGTCTTAATACTTTTTCCTATGAAATTACTAGGTTAGTTGTTCTTAGATTAGCAAAGCAACTGAAAGTTTGATATCTTTGAAGGCAAGATGACGAAAAGCATTCTACATGTCAGTACTGTTAGATCCATGGAGCACTAGCACTGTACAATTGCATCCAAATACAAACACTAAGAAAGAAAAATATATAACTTCCATCGTTAAATTAGCAGACCTTATTATATGGGTATTGACATTTGGATAGTATGCTACATTGGGTGGGAAATACTACATTGGGTGGGAAAACTCTGTAATACTAAACATTCTCTAAGTCTTAAAGTATAATTTTACCAAATGGGAGATCTCTATTCAGACTTAGGAGTAGGCAAAGGGTTCTTCTGATTATTTAGTGGAAAGACTACAGAAAAAGAAGAACATATTTCATCCTCATAGCTGAAGGGACACTATTTTAATTCAACCTGGTTGATGTTAGTATCTTCCTTATTGCTCTGCAGTATTAAGATGACCAAAAAGAATGCATAACGCTTAATAGAAGGAAGACCTTTTCATAAAGCATTAACGTTAATCATTCTACACAAATATTTAAATACTATTCTAGCCTGGCTGGTGTGGTTCAGTATCGAACCATAAACCAGGAGGTCACGCACGGTTCAATTTCTGGTCAGGACACATGCCTGGGTTGCAGGCTCCATCCCCAGTAGGGAGCGAGCAGGAGGCAGCCCATCAATGACTCTCTCTCATCACTGGTGTTTCTCTCTCTCTCTCACTCTTCCTTCCTCTCTCTGAAATCAATAAAAACATATTTAAAAAATTTTTTGTTTAAATACTCTATTCTAGGTACCAAAAACATCACTATAAAATCTGTGGTTTTCAAAGTGTAGTCTAAATCTCCAAGATCCCTTCAGGAAGCCATGAGGTCACAATTATTTTCATAATATAACTAAAATATTATTTGCCTCCTCCGTTTTATCCTCCCATGGAGTATAAAGTAGCGTTAGTATCATTTTAAATGGTTTAGAAAACAATTATTAAAGCATGTAACACAATAAATATCTGTAGAATATACAAACAACATAAAGAAAAGCTCTAGAAGGTCCTCAGTAATTTTTAAGAGCGCAAAGCAGTTTTGAGAACAGAAAGTCTGAGAACCGCTGTACTAAACCATACTAATTATTCTACATGAACATTTCAAAAGATGCTGGACTCATTTATAATGCAAGTAAGTATCAAACAGTACAGTCTTCCTCCAGATGTCAACCTAATCAAATAATTCCGCAACACTGAAATACTTTGTTTTCGCTTACCACCCGTTTAAAAGGCTATTTCATTAAGATAGTTCACATTAGCATAAAACTTCAATAACTTCAACTATACCTCATTCTGAAGTTCATCACCACTTTTAACAGAAGCAAGCATATCATATAAAGTACAGCAAAGATCTTCTATTCTTGTTGCTTCAGCCATTTCATTTAAAGTTGCATTTAAGTACTTCTCAACTTCACACCACAAAAAGGAGTCATTTGTTTTCTCCACAGGTTTGACCTCTGGGGTGGAATGTTCCCGAAAATGTTCATTCAGAAACTTCTTGTAATCTAAGCTTATAGTTTTCTGGGGTTCACCATTTATTGGCAGTTCATCAAAATGGTCCAAATCATGCATGTCAAATGAAAATGCTAAATTACTACCAAATAAAATTCTACCACCACATTCCTCTTTTGTTGTCTGGACAAGAGCAGCAAGATTGTCTTGATGAAAATGAGAAGTAATTCGATTGGTAGCATTACAAGCCTCAGTGGCAGATGATGATGGAAAAGGACCAAACATCTGCTTGATAGCCTTTGTCTCATTGTGACCAACACAATCCGTCAAGTGAAATGTCTTGAAGAGAAATGCAGCAGCACTTTCAATTGCTTCTTTTCCATTATCCATTCCAACTATTCAAAGACAAAAGAAACAGTATTAGCTCAAGTGAATCATGGTTCAAGTTACCATTTTCAAAAAAACTAACAACAATATTTTTCTGGATAAATCCAACAGAAAAAGATAACCAATTTAAGAGCAGAAAAACTCCTTTACGTACATTCGTAAATTCCCAAAAAACTGTATTAGATAAATAAATCATTATCAGTAATTATTCTATATCTAAGTAGAGAAACTATCTAATAATAACCCTTTACCTCTATTTAAAAACAATTTGAGGCATCAGCTAAAACTTATTTAAATCCAAATTTTAAAAACTGATTTGACAAGCTAGTAAATAAACCAAACTAAGTTGCAAAAAATTAGTTATAGACTTTTGGAGCTGGAAGGAAACCTCAGAGATCTACAACTTCCTTTACAATTTGTACTGTAAATCTACAATGGCAAGAAATAAATTTATATGATTTTCATTCAGAAGCATTTAATACCAGAAAGATGGACATTATAAATAGAATATTTTAAAATAAACAGCCACATTATAAAACATAAAAGAATCTTCTATTAAAAAGAGACCAGAAGTGCCCGGGCGGGCGTGGCTCAGTGGTTGAGCATTCACCTAGGATCCAGGCGATCGGGGTTCGATTCCCGGCAAGGGCACATGCCTGGGTTGCGGGCTCGATCAATGACTCTCTCATCATTGATGTTTCTATCTCTCTCTCTCCCTCTCTTTTCCTCTCTCTGAAATCAATAAAGATATATTTAAAAAAAAAAAAAAAGAGAGACCAGAAGTAAATTTCTTACCAAAGTAAGAGGAGCAGCCCCTAATTTCTTTAAGGCATTAATTTCTCTTATCTAATTTTCTTAAATAAAAAAAAATAAAAAAACCTGCACTTGTTTCATAGAATTCAAAGAATATTCCTAGAGCAGAAAAAAAAAATTTCTATCTTCAGAAGGCTCCAAATGTCAATGTGACTGACCTAAAGTACTACCAGTAAACTTAGTAATATAATTACTACACTAGTATCTTCCTAAAACCATGGCTTTGATCATATCATTTGTGATTACAAATCTTGAGCAGCTTACTATAGCACAGTAATTCAACCCAAACTCCTACACTTTTGATTTTAAGTCATGCCAAGAGCTGACCCCCATCCTTTTTTCCCAGCCTTATTTGCTATCATACATTTCGTGCTCCAGACAACAAGAATTTCTTCAAATCCAAAAACTAGGTCCTGTCCCATTCTATGCCTAATTCAATGCCTAGAGTTAACCTTCTCCAAGGCCTCTGACTGTTCAAATCCTACTTATGTTTCAGAATCAAACTCAATTGCATCTTTCAAAGTGAATACAATAGTGTGCACACTGTTATATTCCCTTACCGTAGCTAGCCCCAAATAGGTGCCTCAATAGAGACTTGCTGAATCAAACTGAATCCAGGCCTCAATGATGCCAGACTAGTGTTTATACACTACATCACACTGTCTTGATAGTTTTTTTTGTACATGTTTACACATATGCATAGAAAACTAACAACTTATATGAGTGGACATAAACAATTTTATAATGTACATCTATTATTTCCAATTTCTTCTAGTATGAAGTCTATTTTTATGATTTTAAAAAATTTATAAAATGCCATCTGACATATTATTCTTTTAGCATCTAAGAAAATACATGACAAAAGTCATACACAAATTAAACAATGCTTTCAAATTAACTGAATAGCGTTTATGTACATTTTATTTAGTCTATATACAATGCTTGGAGAACAGCTTTTGGATAATTTAGAGACTCTGATAATTCTACAGATAATTCAACAGGGTTGGGACTACCAAAGTCTGAGCAAAAATGAAATTCACATTTACAAACTCACTGTATATCTAAGATTATAATACTTATTCTTTTGTAAAGATATTATTTTGCATATTAGAATTTTTCTTAAGCAATTTATTAAGAACTTTCACACTAAGTTATCTCAATTCTTAACAAAATTATCCTCATCTTACAGATGCTAAAGTGGAGACTCAGTTAAATAATTCTGAGAATAACAATTTTTAGAAAATATTTTAAAATGTTTGAAATTAATGTTTATTTACTGTATCTTGTTCTAATTTTGCTTATATAATTAGAAGGTAACAATATTTCCTTACACCATTGGTTCTCAAAAAAAATGTGGGTTGGGCCCTAGTCAAGTGTGGCTTGGTTGATTGGAACATGGTGTTATACACCGTAAGTCTGTGGGTTTGATATCCCGTTGGGGCACATATGGGAGGCAACAGATTGGTATTTTTCACATAGATGTTTCTCACTCTCTCTCTCCCTCTCTTTGAAATGAATGCATGTCCTTGGATGAGCATTTAAAAAAAAACAAATTGTGCATCAGAATCACTGGGGTTCTTGTTAAAAACCCAGACTGTGGGGCTTCTGCTGCAGTTTCAGATTCACTCCTCTTGGGGAAGGGCCTAAGAATGTGCATTTCTAACAAACTCCCACTGGCTTAGAATAATTTAAAATATGGTAACTATTAATTCAAATGAAAAGAAAATACATCTACATTGTATCGCTTCCTATTCCCCTCCAAAACTATAATTTTAGTTGGACAACGTTTCTTCCTAACTGTTAATACCCTTGCCTAATTACTAACTCTCTTGCACAACCTACTCCACATCTCTGAGCTGGGCTGCCAAGAATGGACAAGGGCTCGCACCACAAAATCATTTCTTTAAAGTGAATCTGTATCGCGCTACCCGAGAGCCTGGAAATTCTAAATTTTGAGAAGCACTAGCAGACATTATTTGCTGCCACTGTTGACTAACAAAGAAACAAAACTACCGCACTCCGAACACACAGAATTTCTCTAGACTGCTAGCCACGCGAGATCTTCCCTCCGTGCCGCCTTGCGGCAACACCACAGCCAGACACGCCCCCGGCGCCCCGCGCCCCGTCTGCCTGTGATGACGTGTTTGCCACGGGCACGGGCTGCCGTCCGCAGACCCGGATGAGCAGGCAGCCCGGGATTGGAGCAGGGGACCGCGGCCCGGCAGGGCAGCGACAAAGGAATCACTCTGATTTGCAGGCACAGCCCGCCCGAGAAGCCAGCACTTAGATCCTTTGGTGACTAGAAAATATAAAAGGTGCTAGTAAAACAGAAAAAAATATCTTGGAGGATAAGTGCAGTTAGATATCTGACTTGTCAAAGCGCTGGCAGGCCCGCCTGCCCTCAACAAACAGGAATCAGAAGGGGCCTTGGCCACCTAAGGGCCGCTGCCGTCCCGTCGCCCGCTGAGCCCCGCAGCCTCCCTGGAGGAACACGCAGGGCGGGGCTCGGAAAACGGGAGTGGGCCGCTCCCAGAGTGCGCGTTTATAATACATAGTCATGCTCTTGTTTTCTTACACTAGTCCCAAATTAAACGTGCTGGATTAACTGAGGATCTTGTTTACAAGCAACCTCTTTTTTGTTCCTTTCTCTTTATATTTCACGTACAATTTAGTACCGAGTAATATTTTAAATGATTAGGCTCAAGCTCTTTGGTCAGTGAACATTTGCAACCAATTCTAAAAGTGTTTGTTTCACACCACTGGCCGTGAATAGGAATTTTAAGTTTAGTTTTATCCTCAAGATAAAGCCTCAGTAAAGAATATAAACTAAATAATCAATTGGCAAAAGTATGAATGAAATTTCCAACCTCCAAACCTTTAAGAAAGCTACTCTGGATATCTAACCACTTGAATATCTAGTTTTCTATCCATTAAACACTGAACAAGATAGACTGTAAACCCGAAACTGGCTTTATACACCTCACATTTCAACATATTTAAAGACATACACTTAGGTCACTAGAAAACTTTTTGTTTGCCCTGCCCACTTCACAGCTACATTAAGAGCAAATGAGATGCATGTGAAATGTACAGTAAACTCTAAAGATATAATTGGTAACTGATTACTATAACATTATTGTAAAACAAATCTCTAAAATCAGAGTTGAGTGATGACTAAATTATCCTCGACAAAATTTACTTCTACATTTTCCTTTGATTGCAAAATATTAAGAATTAAAGAGTTGTGAATTTTAACTTTTTAAATAGCCTACTTTAATAGTTGAGGAATTTTTAAAAAGGGATGAGTAGGAAATTTTAATTGAATAAAAATATCCATCAACTGTTGGTATCCTTAATTGCTAAGTGTCAAATTTACTTGTCAACAAATGAATTCCTTGACCAGTTAAATCTTCAATGTTCTGCATGATACTATCTTTCAAATAATCACCAAATTATCAAATAAATTTAATAGAGGCAAACATTTACAATACGGCTTTTTGGGAAATAAACTCAACAATTTATGTAATATAAATTTAAAATTGGCTAAGTAATGTAATTTAAAATAATGAGCTTCATTTTATTTTTTAGTATATTATAATTCTTCACATCAGAAATCCTCTAGCAAAACCTTGCCTTAAGTAGGCCAAGTATTCAAGAAATGTTCACTACAGGAATTTGAAGGAATTGCTTAGATATTAAAATTATTCCTGTATTTTAATAGAAATTACATACTGTCTTCAGAGTGAGCAAATAATGAAAGGGAAGCAAAGAGAAACATACTTAGGAGAGAAAAGTAGTAGTCGTAGTAGTGCAAGAGATTAAAAAGAGGCCAAGGCAATTCACCATATTTTAAAGTCAGCCATTTAAATGTATGTATATTCATTACAAAATGTGAATACTAATCTTACAGTGTAGACTTTAAGTCAGCATCCAGCCACTATATTACCATTTCTGGTGCTATAAAATCCTGCATCAAATTACAACTTGACTTTCCAAGCAACCAAAGAGCTAATATAAAAGTTTTGATTTCGCGTATAAGCTTCCTATAATAAAACCACTATTTTGAGCACTGCTAAGGAAATAAACTGTACCTTTGAACAAATCACACAGCTCAGAGATTTAACTGGCATTTAAAATTTTTTTTTAATATCCAAGGGGGGAAACATTGTATAAAAAGATGATTTAAGGTATACATGTCAGTGCAGCATCCATTTATAAGATGCTTAGTTAGTTATAGCCTTGATAGTACTATAAAGAAAATCAACTGCAACCTTAAAAATGCCTCTACTAAGGAATGCAGTGTAAATTTTCTCATGCTTAAGGGATCATAAGTGATATATTGATAAACTAAAGCAAACTATGGAGTTGATCCTATTTCCAACCCTTGCCATTCCTACAATATCCATTCAATTTATAGCTGTTTTGCTATATCCCCACATAATCTGAACTGCCTGTTTACATAGCCAATACATTTGCAAAATCATCTATGATTTTCATTGTTATTCAGCTCTTTTATTTTGTAACTTTTCTTGTGATACGGACATTTATAACAACTCTGTGCCTGAAATATTCAAAACACAATCTAATTCTGTCCCAATTTTCCTTCTCTGTAAATTCCTTCCTGACTTATCCAAGCAGAGTTCCTGCCCTTTTTGTACCACATCATCACTGGGGATATACATCTATCATAACATTTAATGACCCAGAGAAACTGTTTACCAGAGGCTACTGGAACACCTACACTATAATAAAATTATTCACTGACAGCCATTTACCAGGCTTTCCTCTAGGCACTTTGTAGTATTGCTTCACATCAAAACTATACAAAGTAAGAAGCACCATCTCCATATGGCATACAAGGAAACAGGTTTAGTGATATTAACTACTCACTAGTAAATGACGGAACTAAATGTGTAATACACATATTAACTGATAACTTGAAACTATCCTAAACTAAAGGAAAATAATTTTATGAAAACTTAAAACTGAAAATGAGCCGTTTCTTCAAATACAAAATGAAGGAATTGGATAATACGTTCCCTGATATCCCCACCAGCTTAAAATGCTTATTACTCTAGTCAATGTGAGTGATCTTAAACAAGCACCTCATATTATTATATCACACTCAATTGAAATATAAGTGAGTGTTCTTTTTTCTTTATTCTTTCTCTACCTTTTTAATACAAATACACCAAAAATACCTGTGCTAAAAGAGCAATATAAGAGAAATCATAAGGACATATTAACTATGAGATTAATGTTTTCAAAGCTGCTAATTTTAATTACATCTCCAGTGTCTGCAGTTATTTTCATATTCTGGCTTCTGACTACAAGGAATGGAAAGAATCTAGGATTTCAGAAAGAGTAGTTGACTACTAATCAACTATTAGTTTCACTAAAGCTATTCAATTTAAACATAGCATTAAAAAGCATATTTAACAGAGCATTTACCTAAGCCCAACCCTAAGATTAAATCTGTCATGAAAATATTCTTCTGCAACATTACATCTGAAAATAATCAATTTCTTAAACAAGTCAAGATTGGTTCCTGAGTATGAATCAGATGTTTCGCCAACAGGCAAAACTCCTAAAATTATGTTTAATGACTGGTATTTAAAACAATGATTTTTGACTTGTCAGAGACATTTGGGAAGTAGTCTAAAGGGTAACTTTTTAAAAATCTTAATTTCTACATCATTTATATAAAGAAATAATTTAGTTGTGGTACCGAATAAGCTCAACATTTACTACTGCTTTTACTAAGTATTCTGGGGAATTTTTATAATGGAACTAAAGGAGAATACTCTATAGTTTTTGAAAAGTACTTTATTAGGCCACCTCCCAGTGGCCCTAACACCTTAGAAATGAAAACAGTGAAGCCAGAGGGTTAGGATCCTAGCCAAGGTGATTCAGGTGGACGGCAGAATGCATTTTCCCTACTATTTTCCAATGAACCTAACTGTTTCTATATCCTTAAAATATAAGATGTGATTCCATGCCAAATGCTATTACAGATTTCATTGAAGTGTGCTCTAGTTCCCCTAGGCTTCACAAAAATCAATTTTTACTAAAGCCCTTGAACTTCAGACCATCTAAATGTAAAAACACACATGACATTCATCTGTACTTTCACAACTTAAAACAATGAGGATATTAAATTCAATAATATACTATATTACAAACCAATGGTAATTAAATAGCATATCAAAGTCAAACTATATGAATAAATTTAAGGATTTGGTGAGCAAAAACAAGAAGCCTTCATGTGTTATGAGATATATCAGAAACACTCTCCAAAGTTAGTGTAGGAAAGACAACTGCCAACCAGCACATGGCAAAGTAATGACTGATTTTCCCTCTATCAAGAAATCACCTGAGAAAACTTTTTTTCATTTATCAAGTGAAACTTCATTAAGATCCTAAAATATGCAAGCGCTATTCTATCAAGCACTGGGGATGGAGAGTTCAATAAGAAAAGAAAGAACAGATTCTCAGGAAACTTCTATCCTCACTGCAAAACACAAGTAATAAACAAACAAGCAAAATATAAGATAATGATAAATGTTATGGAGAAAATGTTACCAAGGGTTAAAGAGTAACCCGGTAACCTAAGACTGGATGGTCAGTGAGAGCCTCATTAAGGATCTACCCACTCTAAGACTAGGGCAGAACATTCTCACAAGAGAAACGGCACTACAAAGACCCCCAAACAGGCACTAGCTGGGTGGGTCTGAGGCAATGAGAGAAGGCCATGTGTCTGAAGCACAGTCAGTGAAGGCAAGGACGAGTCAAAGTCATAGAGAAAGGTGGAGGACAGATTACACAGGGCCAGATCGGTTTGAACCTTTTGTAGGTAATAAACCTGAATTTGAAAATTTTAAAACTATAGTAGTGTTAACTATGCTTTTTAGTTATCAGATTCTGAAATGTGATAATAAATGTCAATGAAAAAACTCAGATTTTTACCAGAGTCATTGTTTTGCTTTATTTTGTTTTGTTTTCAACCTTGGGAAAGTAGAGTGTGTTAAGCATAAAGTAATTACAATCCCCTCCAAGTACATTCAACTGATGAGACTGTTAGTGTTTGACAGAAATTAAAGCAAAGTTCAGATTCAGTGCTGCCCTTACCATGTGCCAGGTTAGCATCTATAAGGCTGAGCTACATCGCTTTTAAGGTTCCCTCAAGCTATATTAAAATTTTAACTCACCCTATTCTTATTTCAAGCAAGACAGTGGTTTTCAAACTCTGAATTCCTATAAAGTCCTCATGTTTGATTATACTATAATTATTCGTTTACTTCTGCCTCCCTGACTTTATCCTAAGCTCCTTAATAGATAAGATGGTCTTTTCATAATTATGAATACTAGCTTGGAAATGTTAGCCTACACTTTCTATAGCATACAATTTAAAAGAAATCTACTTCTGAACCTTAGTGGTTCTTTTAAGAAAATAAAACAAAACTATACCTATTTGTTTTGCAGCCTGCAATATATCTTTTAAGTCTTCATTTACACTTTGCATTTCACTCTTCTCCAGTTTTTCATTCAAAAATTTTACTATCTTCTTCCATGTCAGGTCCAAACCTACAATTTGTTCATGAAGTTTAGATCGCTTCATCTGAAATGCAAAAAATAATACAGAGACACAGTGGTTAAAGGTTTTCTTAAATCCATCACTTATCACATGTATTTTGCATTACATTATACAACACAAGAATTCAAAATTGTATGTATTCACATCAAAATTTATAGCTCCCAGAAGGAGACTTATTTGAATGAGTTTAAAAAGAATCTCATTTCTTTAAAAGATATGGTTAATAAAAGCTTTTTTATAGTTTTAATCACAATGAAAAATCATTATGAAATTATTTTCATACAGCAAAGTAAAAAGCAAAAAGTCCTACATTCAGGTGAAAACAGGTAACATCCCACATGTACCTTTTCTCTATTTTTCTGCTTTGTTTTTAACAAAGCTTGGACCATATTGTATATAAGAACTTTGTCATGCTTTTGATGAAAGGCATTTAAAGAAAATTAGATTCCTATGATGAGTTGAATACATTCAAACCAGCATTGCTCTCCTAAGTATGATTCTAGAACAGGTTAGGCATCCAGGAGATTCTTAACTACATGCACTCTTTTTTTAAGATTATAAATCTTTCAATTCTCTAGAACTGACACAGTAAGTAATAAAATATTTACTTCATACCACTGGCCTTGATCCATGAATTAAACTTCAAGAGGTCCCTGACCAACTGAAAAAGTAGTGAGTCAGATAGAAAACTGTAATGTTCCTCTTGGTTGTACTGATAATACTGAGTAATTCACTATTACTTCCCTGCCTCAGTTTTCTAATTTAAAATGGAGCTAATTAATCTGGGTTTAGGGAGAAGAAAATGGGTAAATGTAGAGATGAAGTAAGATTAACCACAAATTGAATTAAGTCATTATAATGGGTCACAGTACATAAAGCTTCATCTTTTCTTTCTCTTTTGTATATGTTGGATATATCCCAAGATAAAAAGTTAAATTAAAATGAAGCTCATTATATCTGCCACTTTCTTTCCTTGGGGGGGGGGGAGGAATGTGTTTAAAAGCCTACAAGAATAAATGAAATGACATAGGATAAGCATGCAGTCCTTATACACTTTCAAATTTTAAAATCTTCTATTGTATCTCTAATACAAAAGCACCTGTAAAGGGGCTTGTTTAGGTGAAGACAGAAAATAATTCAAGTTGAAGATAGCAATATTAATTAATTGTATAGAACATACTGTTATTTTAATTGCTGTGAAAATGCAAAATAGCTCCCATCCTAAAAAAGGTTAACTGTTTTGTTTGTAGCAAAATTCTGTATCATCTTTAGAGGAAAAATCTACCTAAAGACTGTTATAAATCTTTTCTTCCTAGTATCAATCTTTAAGTGAAGATATTAATTATAAAACTGCATAAGGACTTTAAGCAATAAAATTCTAACCTGCTAGGATTCTACAATAGAGTCAAATAAGTCAGCAAAGTGACTGTTGTTTTTATAAAAACAGCATAGTGCCAATTCCTTCATATACTATATTATATGGCCCATTCCTTCATAAGTACAGTTCATATATCTTCAGGACTACAAATTCCACAACCAATTATAAAGATGAGACAGAAGTCAATTATGAGACCAGGTACTGAGTTTAAAAGAGTAAAAATCATATTTCCCATGTTATGGTACAGACACTGTTTCTCTCCATCAAATAAGAATCTTACCAGAGACCCCAAAACTTACTCAGATAATCTAGGAGTAAATTATGGGATTAAATTACAAAATTAACTGTAGCAGGAATTTAGCAACAGAAAAATTAACAAAGGATTCAATACCATAGTTCTGATTATTCTCTTTGATAATACAGTCATATGTGCTTCAGATAAATATTCCCATTAGTACACAACAGTATACACATTCTTCTTAGTAGATAAAACATACCATTTTAATCACACAGAACTGAGAAAAAGAATGTCAAATATTTGCCCATATCTAAGTTTATAATGGTTTTCATCTAAAAAAATTTACCTTTAAGTCAGCCACTTCTTCATTATAATTATCTTGCTTGGTGACATTTGAAAAGGAGCGCAAGGCTCCTGTGAGACGAGGTAAAGCCATCTCTTATTCAATCAGTGATCCATGCAATAAGAAACCTGAAAATGAAACAAAACAAGATGATATTTATCTGTTGGGAGTGGTGGAGGAGGAACTCAAACTCAACAAACTAACCTGTATAAGAGAGAGAGAAAAAATTTGTTAAAAAAGCAATTGCTACCAATGTTGACTAATTCTCCAGACACATTTTGTACCTGTGAAGTTGGTTTTTTATGTTTTTTACAACACACTGGCTATGTTGGGAGAAAGGAAAAAGAAACAAACAAAATACGCACGGTAGGTACTTGTGGGTACTACCTTAGCATTACTTAAAAGTAAGTTCTACAGATTCCCAAGTACGGGTCTCAAATACTGCATTACTACTGACAATAATACTGAGAGAGGAAAGAAAGCACTTGCGCATCTTTTCTCTAGTACCGTTTTATCCTGATTGCATCTCACATTATCCCTTGTTTTCAGAGTCTCACTGCCTTCCCCCCTCCACCTAAAAGCATTTGCATTAGTGGTCCCTACTTAGAATGCTCTTTCAATGTTCATATAGCTGACTCCTTGACACACAGGTCTTGGCTTAAAAGATACCACCTGAGAGGGTCCTTTCTTAACCACTCAATCTAAGAAAGGGCAGCTACTCAATTACTGTCTATCAAAGCACAAAACTTCAATTCTCTTTTATAGCACTAACTAATGTTTGACATTTACTTGTTTATTTACTTATATATGTGTTGTGTCACCCCACAAAAAGGTTCATGTTTCTGTCACTCACTAATTACTTGGTAAATAGTAAAAGGAAGAAAAAGAGAAAAAAGGAGACAATGGTAACAGGGAAACTAAAGAATAGGAGAGGAAAGATTTCAAGTAGCTGGGGAAGGGAAGAACTCCCATGGAAAGAAAAAAGTCAGATGACATGATCTAATCTCCCTGTTTACATGCTGACAACTAAACAACTAACTTTCTAGCAAATAGACTAATAATATTTACTGTTAGGGGAGTCCTTATCTATGGAATACTCTTAGAGCTTATCCTGGTTAAAGACTGCTTATTATAACAAAACTACAATCTACGGATTTTTAAGGCATGGCTCCCTGAAGAATGTCACATATGCTATACAGGTCTTTAGGACAATAATTCTCAAACAGGAATATTTTGTCCCTTATGGTCATTTGGCAATATCTGGTGACATTTTAAGTTGTCATAACTGGAGGGTAGGGGGAAATACTACTGACTTCTGGTGGGTAGACACCAGTGATGCTGCTAAACATCCTATAATACACAGGACAGCCTCCTGACAACAAAAAATTATCCAGCCCAGGGATTTTCAACCAGTGTGCTCCAAGAGGCACACTCGTGCGCTGCAAGAATTTTTAAAATGTGCAATAACTGATGATCTAGTCAGGAGCACTGACCTCTTTTCTCTTAGACTGTCAAATTAAAAAATGACAACAGCCAACAAAACAGTCATCTTATGTAAATAAATCAAAATTATACTTTTTTTTTATCAGATCAGCAAAAAATATATTTTTTGGTTTACCGCAGAATTTTAGTAATTAGTTTATGTGTGCCATGAGATGAAAAAAGTTGAAAATCACTGATGTAGCCCAAAAATGTCAACAGTGCAAGATTACGAAACCCCACTCTAGAATCTAAAATAGAGTTGTTTTATAAAGCAGGCACTTCCTACAGTGTGAAAGGACCCACAAAACTCAATTAAGAGACCTCAATGATTATTTTGGACCAAAGACGATGTGCCCAATGTGGGAAGGGGGCCATACAGAATGTCTCAGACCACTCCCTGTTTTTGCTCTTCTTGATTGCTTATACCCTTAAAGTTATTACAAAGTTTAACACTTGGAAAAATCTCTGACTCCTATATTAGAATGATGAGATACAAAATAATTATGTGAAATGTTTAACAAAATAAGAGATAATTTAAAAATAATGAAGAATAAGAAATGACTAGGCAAATTTGAAAATAGAATTTTTAGAATTAAAAATATATACTTGTTAAATTAAAAAACAATAAATGGATAGGTTAAACAACAGATGATACACAACAAAAGAGAAAAGTGATGACCTGGAAGAGAGAGACAGCTATGAATAACCCAATATGATATTATAAATCAACAAAGTATAGATTAAAGAGGACAAAGAGAAACAAGTCCAAATATATCAAATCAATAAATACAAATAAATTCAACTTAACAATGAAAATATTGACAAACCAAATCACTAAAAAGCAGTCAACCAAATACTTGATCTACACCTATAGCATAGGACAAAGAAAGGCTGAAAGTTAAGGCATAAAATAAGATCTTCCTGTATTATGCTGCTACAAAAGTAGCAAAAATATCAAATCAGACAAAATAGATTTTAAACAAAAGGTATTAATAGAAATTTAAAAAACTTCTCTTTATAATAAAAGATACAGCACTAAGAAGACATAATAATTTTGAATTTGTAGGTATACAGGATGAAATTTAAAATAAATTAAAATTAGTAGAACTCCAGGAGAAAGTGACAAGTCCAACATCAAAGTGAAAGTTCAATAACTGATCAATTATTGATCAGTCAAATCAACAAAATTTCAGTAAAGATATGAGACTTGAGCAGTGAAATTAATAAGTTTAATTTAATGAACATATACAAAAACCTGTACCTAATGATTAGAAAAATACATATTCTTCTCAAGTACATCAGTAACAGTTTAATATGGTCTATGTCTAATAGGCCATAAAGCAAATCTCAACAAATTTCAACAATTAAGTATCATACAGACCAGGGGGCCAGCAAACTTTTCCTGTCTAAAGAGAGAAAATAAATATTTTAGGTCTGGCAGGCCACCATGCAGTCTCTGCCCCATCGTCTTTGCTTTATTATTTTTTTAAAAAACAAACACACACTTTAAAAGTATAAAAATCATTCCTGGGCTCAGGGTGACCAAATTAGTTTGCTGACCCCCCTATATAGGTCACATTTGCTAAGCAAAATATAATTAGATTAGAAATCAGAAACAAAAAAGATAAAGCAAAAAACAAATGATTATACTGCAAATCAGTAAGGAAATGGTATCAGAACAGCTTGGGAAAAGAACAGCTGATTATATCACACTAAAAAATTTAATCAGAAAAGTAAAATGATCCATTTTAAATTTCTACTACCCACTGGGAATGAATTTTGGAGAACATTTCTAAAAACAAGATGATTCAGGGAATCACATCTGTATTTTTCTAAATAACACTGTCTGGAGCATTTGAAAGAAGAAATCAAAGCAGGAGTCAGTGGAGCGCACAAAGAAGACATTCTCAAACTTTAGTATTCATCGAAGTCATCTGAAGGGCTTCTCAAATTGCTGAGCCCCACCATGAAATTTCCTGATTCACCCCCAACTTTCTGAACCAGCAGATCAGATGGCACTGAGATGGGGCACTGTCGAGATCAGAATTCAGGAAACATCAGCGTTATACATATAATCCTCTATTATGCCATTTTAAAAGGGGGTCATAGTCCATAGTAAATCCTAAAGAAAATTTTTATCCCCTATTCCTTACTTTTATTGTGCCTTACTTCCACCAATTGGTTAATGTAGTGGAGTCACATTTAATTATATGAATCAAACAAATACAATATGCCAAATAAAAGGTATAAACAGAAAAAAAACGATACTGGAGATTCTGGCAACTATCTCATAAATTAAATGCATGCTCTAGAATGAATGGAGAATAAGCAATAAGAATACGTTGCTCCCTTAGGCTGTTTCAATCACCATATGCATCTCAAACTGTGAACATCTTGCTGCATTGCATGATTCCAATGTTTAAAACTATGTTCCCTTTCTAAAACAATATAAAACATGGCCACTAAACATAAGCCAACTTTTTCACCTAGTTCATCTGAAGAAACTGTGCTATGTTCCAAGTCTGGAGGAAAAACATGGCTGTGTAGGACATACTGAGAGATGGTGTGCTGTGACAACCTGGTGTCCTAAGGGATTTTCAAGGGAAATTTCAATTATTCATTATTTCCACCCAACAAGTTCACGTTAGATCCTAATTCATTCTCAAGCAAGAAGCAAGTACTGTTGAATAGTTTCCAATAAAATTAGAAAACATACTTGGAGCATGGATAACAAAGAAAGCAAGGGAAAGATAAACACATACATACAAGGTGTGGCAAAAGTAGGTTTACAGTTACTCATATGGAAAATAATACAATAATTAATAAATAATAATACAAGAATAAACTGTTTGCATACTTACAACTGTATGCCCCACCCTGCATATACATTTTTATATGTCAAAATATAAAATGGTTTGTTAAAAATAAAATTTGTATGAGGTTCTTATACTCCAACTACTTACTTAATATTAACTCCAGGTTTCCTACCAAAAGGTGGGGGATGAGGGAGATAAACCTGGGCAGGCTCATAACCATAAACCAAATTATCTTTGTATTCCACGAAGCCCCCAGAGTTATATTAATTTTACTTTTATCAAAGCGTAAGAAAAGCTTTTCTTTTTATTCTTTTTAAATATTTTAATTGATTTTTTTAGAGAAAGGGGAAAGGAGGGGGGAGAGAGAGAGAAATATTGATGTGAGAGCAAAACATCGACTGGCTGCCTCCTACATGCTCCCTACCCAGGACTGAACCTGCAACTTGGGCACGTGCCCTGACCAGGAATAGGCAACCTTTCAGGGCACAGGATATCGCCCAACCAATTGAGCCAGACGAGCCAGGGCAGGAAAGCTTTTCTTTTAAATGCCCTTGGAAAACAAGTGGCTAGAATAACATATCAGCACCAGGTGAGAACGAGAATACTTAGAAAGAACATGCCACAAGGATCAAACAAGCACACATATTACTCTAGAGAACACAGGAAGCAGGCCCACTATATGCTAGACAGTGCTTATTTTATTTCTCCCAACACTGGCCCAGTGGAAAGGTCCTGGCCCAGAATATCTGAGCAAGGCAAAATTCCCATTTCACCCCAATCTCTGGGCCTGTGAAAGATAGACCCAAGGAATTTATGCCTGTCCCTTAATA